ATCAGGGTGTACGCCCCCTATTCTTTGGGTTTTTTTACGTCCCACAAGAATCAGAACAGTGAAAGAGCTGTGAGACGGGGCCCACAGTTTTCGTCCTTATCCGAAAAGACTAGAAATGTTTAACCATTGGTAGATGTCACAACAAAAGCAGCACATTCTCCTCAGTTATTTTAAGACCCTACGTGTTCGTCCATCGGTGGTTTGAACCCGCGACCTCCCGCTCGACAGAGTGGTGCTTATCCAATTGAGCTAACCGGGCGGCGGTACAAATACGGCATCACGGGAATTTTTAAGTCAAGGACAATAAAAGTCATGCACGGGGAACAAGGGTGGCGCAGTGAGGAGACAGTGACTAAAACAAATTGCGGCGTTGACCGACGCCATATTTTGGTTGACTTTGTAACTAGTTCCCCTCTCTGCTCCAAGAGGTTCTTCTCGCGGTACTCCGGTTTTCTCTTCTCCTTAAAAACCAACACTTCCAAATTCCAATTCCACCGGAGCACAGCAATAACACTTTCAAAGGTGTTATTTAGGCCTTTCGGTTGTTTCGTTGATAATTCTTTTAACATTACTAATTAAGATTGTTTTATGGCATTTTAAACGCTTGGGATTGTAAACAATGCAAACATTCGAAACAGTTCTTCGTCGCCATATCCACTCAATCGAAGTAGCTCAGAAATAATCCGCTAGGAGTCGTATTTGCAACCCTCTTGTCCGTGTTTGAAATGTATTGAAACACTGTGCATGACTAGTGTTTGATATAATTTATTACTTCAAAGTTGGGTCTAGGTAGCGGATCAAAACGAAAAAAAATGTAACTTTTTGTTGAGAAATAGTGAAAAGTCATTACATAATCTATTTGGATGTGCTTTGTTTTTTCTTTTGTGATAAACTAACCTGTAGAGATTCAGCACCTTCAACTATTTCACGAGGAAGACCAGTTAACTTCTCGACCCTAAAAATAAAAAAAGCGTCACAAAAACTAAAATAAAATAAATAGAACGGCTAGCTTCGAGAAAACTGTTCTACTGGGGCGATGGAGGGTCGGAATGAAACAAGAAACAAGAAGATGATGATGGAGTGAACAGAACAGATTAATTATTTGTCTTGTGACGTAATATCAGCCGCAGTTGTCCCTGAAAAGGTCAGTTTTGGAAACGTGGTTTGGGTGAACTTGCGACAGATTAGTTCCCATTTCTTTGGATGCGTACAGCCGTCGACCTTTTATTATGTACCATTTTGTAACATCCTATGACTTCTAGTTTTTACACCAAATAAGTCAGTGAGGGTTGCCTCGATTCAACCAATGTACACTAACAACCGCATACCTGTCAATCATATTACTTTGTATCGGGTCTGGTACAGTGCTATGTAGCCAGGCCGTGTGGCTATACCGAGCACGGTGTTTGGGGTGTTTTCGCTCCATTGTCTTTAAGTATTTAAGAATGTCATTACTGAGCATGCTTTGGTAAGTGTCATTGTTAATGGCGCCTGCGGAAATACAAAGGAAATCAAACTTGAAACATTAGCGCCTAGCATCATGGTATACAAAATGAAATGTTACGATAATATTGCCACATACCGGTAAAGCATGCACAAAAATGACAGACGCAGTTGTGGCTTTAAGTGCACGGGTAGGCCTACGCATAGTGATTGAGTAGGCCTATCCAATATTGCCTATCATTGGCCTTGTCTGATTGCCTGTAGACTCAGACGCGCCTTCGTTACGCTTTTGTTACGCGCTTTCGTTATGCAGTGGAGAAAGGGGTCAAGGCAAACCCAGAAAAGAAACTTTCCAAAGAAAAGCACTCATTTCTCTCACCTAAACAAACCTTACAACTGCGACGGCAGTTTCTTAGCATCCAATCAACATGTCCATCATCAAGACATTTTTGTTCTTTAGCAAGCGAAGAGCAGTTGGCAGCTAAGTCGTCACATCCACAGTTGTCGCACGATTTTCGGCAAGTAAATAACATCCATGTAGGATACAACTGACAGGCTCCTTCTTTTGCCAGCTGTGAGCATGAAGCTTCGTTGTCCTCGCACAACGGACCTTCAAATCAATGATAATAAACATTCCCTACTTCGTTATGAATGTCTAACACTGCTTTTGGAATAGTTATATGTTCACTTAATTACCCAAGAAAAATGGTGAAAAGAATTAAAACATGAGCTATACTTCAGATACCAAAACCAGGTTTTGTTGGCCAGTGTTTTTTTTTTTTTGAAAACCTAGTGGTTTTGGTATAGTAGTAGTGCTAATTCCCGTAGGTTCATCAGAAACATGGCTTTGGTAGTCTTGTTATCTCTCTTGTTGTTTTTGGGGATAAAACTTGAATCTTGCGTCTCGTTTGACGCGGCTATTTCTTTACTGAGGAGAGTTTTTAAAAAAGTTAAACTTAACAACCCCTCAGACTATCTAATCTAGAGTTGTCTTTTAAAAGACACCAGGGGCTCGTTTCTCGAAAGTCCCGATAATTAACGGGCCCGTAAAGCTCTTTTGGTTTACATGCAAGATAGAGGTTTCAGTAGTTTTACATCTAACATGATAAAACTATCAGTTAATGAAACAAAATGGAGTAATTTGCTAACCAGGAACCGGGCTCTTATTCTTTAAATTTCGATTTGAATATTTGATTTCGGGCCCGAAAAGTTACCGGGACTTTCGAGAAACGGGCCCCAGGTTATGAGCAATCCTTTCTCATTTAAGTTATATATAAATACTGTATATTCCATACCTGGGCCAAAATGTGTGATGTTCAAAACAGCAAACCTGTACAAGAAAAATAATTAACAATTATTGGACGAGTTTGAGCAAAATATCGTGATTTGTCAGTGGCGAGCAGATCGATTATTTGCCGATGCCGAAGGCTGAGGTAAATAATTGATCTGTGGTTTTATTTACGAGTACCATTAGCAGCCAAACACAGTTGAACGACATTGCGCATGAGCAGACCATTATTTGTAGGCACACGTGGTGGGATCTCGGCCAACAAAAAGGAAGAAAAATTTGGATTGAAAGATAATTCTATTTAAATCTACAATTGTAGATTGCATTGGAATGCAAAGGAGTATCATTGACAAGCATTTTTTTTGCAAACCACTAATTTCAGTCTCCTTTGAAGAGGCATGAGCTGGCTGCTATAGGAAATAAATATCCTCCAATATTTCCAGTGCTTATCTTGAACAAATGAAAGGTTAGTTTATCGGCTGTCTTACGATAGTTACTTAGGTAGAGACATTTGGACTGCTTTTCAATTAAAATTGTCAGTTTTGAGCAATTACCCTTTCAGGCACAAACCGGGGTGAACAACATCATTCCGGCATTACATCAAATTAAAATTGATCTGGAAATTAAATTGAACCCAAAATCGTTTTTTTCCCTCTTCTCTAAATAAGATAGTGAGTTCTTTTTCGTTCTATTATGCGGGTCTGTATATTAAAGAGAAATGGTAATGCTAAGGCTTTGGAATTTATCTTTTCCAATATTTTGTGCACGATAAAATGGTTTCATGACGCAGCAACAGCAGCAGGACTAGAAACATACTATATGAGGTACTTGCATTTCACGGACGTCATCTTCATCTATATACAGGAAAAAAATCATCTCGGCAGCCTTTATAAACTAAAAGAAAAAGATATAAAATTCAATCAACCTTCAAAAATTTGCAATTCCAACTTCTTCAGGCAATAACTTCGTATTCAATAAAGTACCGTCCGATTGATGCAACTATAACAAAATTAACACATAAGGAATAGCGAAAATTATCCGATAGAATTGAAAAGAAACCTTGTAGTTGAAAGTTCATTTGAGGATCAGAGTTTTGTTTAGGTTTATTATAGCCCCTTGACTCACATAGTCATTTATTACCTCGAAGCAAGGCAAAAATGAACAGCGCGCGCTGTAGTTGGGTGCATGTAATTCAGTACCAATCAACCTGTTGTCCCTGTGAAAGCGGATGAAAAACCAACTGGTTTTTCTGAAGGCAGAGCGGTGCAATTTATACGCCGGTATAATTTGTTTTTTGGCGGAGCGTTTTATCTTTCTAACCTGATATTGCGAAATCGTTTAAAATCCGCAATCCACCGTAGCAGGAAAAACGGCTGATTCAACGAAATGTGAGACAACATAATATTAAACCTCGTATCCAGTGAGAACGCCATCTTTGTCGAGATCCCAGTTTTGGAAGTCTAAAACCGTGTCATCTGAAACAAAATAAACCAAAAAGGTGCATGATAAACAAGCGAGAGAGTGATTCGTAGTTCACGGTATCAAACCGAACGTTGACAAGGAGAAATAGTGACGGAAGCAGCGGATTCGCGGAAGTGGAGTGAAGAAGAAAAAGACAATGTTGCACCATAACCTTTCTTCATAGTTATTAGAGGAGACTGGTTATGAAAAGCGGCAAACATCAATGATAAAAACAACAGTGCTGCAGTTTATGTTGGAAGCACCCTGAAAGTGCACAATCCTTCGTTTTCTGTTGGCAAGTTGTTACAGAATAAATTAATGCAACGTTTTTATTGGTCAATACAATCAAAATGATAGGAATTCTTTTGAACGTTGTGCACTTTCAGGTCCACAAAAACATATAACAAAGGAGTCTGATGGGTTTCAGAACCATTCCACTCAATTCACCTTCTGAGCGTCAGCTTTCGCGTGTAGTGTCACGTGACTTTCGATGTAAACAAACCGCCAAAGTTCGGACATTGGTTTCACTCACGTGTACGAACTTCGAGTCGCTATTTCAAGTTTCCGTTTATATAGCCGGTTTTTTCCATGACCTATAGTCTTTAAAATTCGAATATCGAATAGAACATCCGTTCTTACCCACGTACTATACGTGGTCGGACCACAAGTCGCTATTAAAGTCTTTAAAAATTGAACAGAACATCCGTGTTTTATTCACCCTCTAATACTGTGCGAAGTAACAGTTCCCGCTCAGCAAAATATTTTCTACGCTTTAATTCCCCGAAACTATAATATCATAAGGGTCAAAATGTCAGTGCAGAAGAATAGCAGCGACTTCAAGGCCATGAATGTGGCAGAACTAAAAAAATATTTACAGGATCGCGGCGTTTCGGTGAGCGGATATTTAAAACCTTCGCTGGTGGAAATCGCTTCTGCAGTCGAAAGAATGGTTTTACCCGTTGACCCAAACTTTGAAAAAGATCAAACAAATGATGCGGGTACATTAATCATTCATGATATGGTAATTCCTGATCCATTTTCCCTGAAGACCGTTAACAACTTCAACTCTTCGCCGCCATTCGGGTTGTTCGATATTTTTAACCATTTAATCTACCACTCCACCGATTACGATAAACAGGGGCTCGCCGCTTATAAATCATTTGACGACTATAGATTATTCAATGACGGTTACGTGGAATCCTTGCTTACTACTCAGTTAAAACAAGAGGGAGTCCATGTTTACGTTGCGAAAGTGAAGCCTTTCATGAAGTTAAAGACGGACGAAGGAAAGGAGTACTACGATCTCTGGTTTATTCTAGAGGGCAGAGGGGCGAACCGCGGCAGTGTACTCCAAGCACGATGTAAGTGTAAAGGCGGTCGAGATGGGGGATGTAAGCATATTGCAGCTGCCATGTACGCTCTGGAGGATTTGGTAAATACCCGTGGTGAAGATAGTGTAACGAGTGGCCCATGTGTTTGGGTTAAGAGGCCAAGAGCGAATACACAAGCGTGTGAAGTAAAAGATCTTATCATTGTGAAGGGCAAAAAACCTTCCCACAAAAAGAGAAAACGCAAACAAGTTTACTGTCAAAACATCGACACAGATGTCCGTGCCCCTGAAGACACAAATCCAAAAGAAGAGGAATATCTAAGAACGTTTACCAAACGAATTTGCCACTTAACACATACACCTGTCATTTTGCCCCTGTTTAAAAAACTTTATGGCACTCCAGAAAAAGACACAATCACAGGAGAACCTGGTCACTTTAACCATAATCGGCCAAAAACCGGTATAATGAGGGCTAAGCTTCTGGAGATTTTAACTAATGATCCCAAAACCTCAACAGAAGAAATTGTCAAGGTATTGTCTTTCAGTGATTCTGAACGAAAGCAGGTTGAGAGAACAACCATCAAGCAATGGCAATGTGAAGAGTGGTACCTTCATAAGTCAGGGTTTATCACAGCCTCAAAGTGCAAAAGAGTTTTTACCCGCCAGGAAACGCTTGAGAAAAACCCAGCTGAAAATGCCAAAAAGTTGATAGAAGAAATTGGTCTTGTGAAGTCATGTCCACCGCCCATCCAGGAGGAAAGACAACCACAAAATGCCAGGGAGTGGGGGTTGCTACATGAAGAGAGTGCTCGCAAGGCATATCAACGTGTTGCAGGCCACAATCATCACAAGCTAAAGCTCATCCCAAAAGGCTTTTTAATCTCCCGGTCCAAGCCTTTCCTTGGTGCTAGTGTGGACAATATTCAGAAATGCCAGTGTTCTGATGGTTGCCCAGTAAGAGTGGTTGAGTACAAATGCCCTTGGAAACACAGGGATCTGCACCCAAAAGAAGCCTTCTTAACCCCAGAAATTGGTGGTATTCAAAATGGAAATAAGTTTGCACTAAAATCTACTTCAAATTATTACTTTCAAGTACAGCTTCAAATGTTTGTAAGCGGCCTCACCTTGTGCATCTTTGTTGTGTGGACCAACAAGGGAATCTTCACTGTTGATGTACCCTATGATCCAAGCTTCACGTCTGTTGTCTGTGCAAAGCTGGAGAAGTTATGGACAAGTCAGGTACTCCCTTTCCTAATAACTGACGTTTCCACGACATCCTTGCCAGGTAAGTATTTGTTACAAAGATTTAAGTCCTAACTTATTACATCTAACTTTATAGTAATAATTACTCCAGTCATTCGGGAGTTTTCTTCTAATTGGGTGATTCCAGAAAATATCCATACCATACCACGGGCGGCATCTTGGAATTCCGAGGGAGAGGGGGGGTTTCTTGGACTGGAATTCCGAAGACGTGGAGGGGTAACGCAGTTTGGAATTCCAAAGGCATGGGGGGGGGGGGTGTTTCAGCTCTGAATTCAGTGAATTTCCAGAGGAAAGACGGCGAAAGCTCCGCTTGAAATCGCTGACCTGTTAACATTCCCAGTTTGTAAATGAAGCACGAACCGACCACGGAAGAAGTATGCGTTCATGCAGATGGGTAAGCAGATGGGTTGTGCAGCAAGCTCCACATCAGAGAGGCCTTAAAGTTGATGAATTAGTCAACTGATTAATAAAAATATAACCAAGTCGGTGTTTCTTGCCGATTGTCGATTGACGATGTGTTGTTGCGTGCTGAAAACTCGCACCAGTCTCTCGTTTCCAAATAGAACGCCTGACAGATTTTGTATTTCACGCCGATTTTCACGCCAACATGTAGGTAGTAAAATCCGACAGCGTGCCTTTTGATGCGCTGTTTAATTCAAAACTGTTTAGGCGCAACTGTTTTGATCATTCAGTTCTAAATAGTTATTTTTCCTCGAAATAACTATTTATTCCAGGAGCTGATATCCTTAAAAAATTGTGAACAGAATTCTTTTGCAGAGGGAAAAAGTGCAAGTTTCTCGTTCGTTTGAAGATTTAGGCAGACAAACAGGAATTCCAAAGGGTCTGAAACAAAAGTGGAAAATTCCGAAGGAGAGGGGAGGTTAGCGATTTTGGAATTCGGAGGGCAAGGGGGGAATAAGCATTTTGGAATTTCCGAGGGCAAGGGGGGGTTAAAATACTCATGCCACCCGTGGTAGGGTATGGATATTTTCTGGAATCACCCATTAACAGTTCATGCCTGACCCCATGCTCAGAATGTTCTTTTTTGTTGTTGTTTTTTTGGGGGGTCTCCCTAAGCAGGTTCATCACAAGAAGCATTTTGCTCTTCCCAAGATTCCAGCATTTCAGAGCAATACATTAGCAGCTCTGCACAGCAGCCCTGTAGCCACTCAGAAGCAGATGTCATGACCAGTTCACAAGATAAAAGCCCTGCTGCAGCTACTACTGGCACCTCACAAAGTCCCTTATATATAGATTTGTCACAGTGCAGTACCCCTACCCCACCTACAGAGAGTGTGGAAATCTCTGGACTTCAAATCTACAAGGATGATGTCGAAACTGTTCAACCAAAGGCCATGATTACTGATACCATAGTTTTGTTTTTGTTCAAGTAAGAATTTTCTTCACATAACTGTAAGGTATAAAACAATGTATTAAAGGCATCTCTTAGATGGCTTAACCTGGTACTAATGGAGCATCATGCTATACAGCAATTAATTTCTTGTTTATAATTAACTGTGGAATCTTTGGGCCACACAATAATATTATTAATATGGATAGCTAATGCAAATGATAATTTGTATTGTGATTTCAGGCAACTACCTCAGATACATCCCATTGTCAGTTCCTTTTTCTATACCACCTTACGTGGGGAACAAGATGTTGGACCCACCACCTCAAGGTAATGATATCGAATTCTAATAATTTCTTTCGCTCAATTGCTCACATTACAAACAATAAAGTAAAAATATTAAATTCTTCTATTACTTAATAATATTCCTGTTATTAATTTCAGAATGGTTCGCCAAACATCAGCAAAGAAGTTTTTTAAGGCAGAGCTGCTGAACAGAAGATATGTGTTCATTCCAATCAATAGAAGGTTATTAATTATCATTATTGTATTCTACGAATAATTTCAGTACAATAAAGCGTAATACAATGGCTATTTGTTGTAACAGTGATTTGAGGTAAAACTGCATGAAATTGTATCGTATAATAATGTTATAATAGATAATTTTTAGCTTTTAAATTACCTCAAATTAATTATTATAAGTCACATACGTTTGCTATATTTTTTCCTCAGTTTACATTGGCTGCTGGCTGTCTTAACCCCATGGTATGCATTTCAGGATATTTCAAAAAGATGTATATCATTTTTATTACACATTCATAACAGACGTTCCATCGTACATGTAATCCCTATTACTTTTATGTTTTTTACTGGATATTATATTACATCTTCAATTGTATCAATGAAGCTGCCATTTTTGTTCAATTATAGGCACTTTTTGATACTGGACTCATTGACATGGGACATAAGCACAAGGCATGAAGAAATACACAATATTAACAGGTATAGAATTATTTCTCTCCACAAAATACACTGTCAGCTTTATATAGGGGAAGTGAAAAATTGGCTTTGTATATATTATACTGACATCTTAATTTCCAATTTTTTGGCTTTTTTAAATACTTCAAAACTTATAGTTTCTTGGATCACCTATGTGCTGCACACAGTATAACCTCCATGACAAGCCAACGATCAAATTATGTGCTTAAGGTACGTAATGACATAATTAAGAACTGAACTGACCGGCTCATCTCTGAAGGGGGGTTAACCATATATGTGCTGCCTGGTAATAATGAACTAACAGTTGCGTTGATAGTATTGTCAAATATAATGGAATAATGTTTTCTTTCCAGGTACCACAACAGTTGCCAGGAAGCAACAACTGTGGATTTCACATATTCATGTTTGCTGACCATTTTTTAAAGGTACAGTACAGGGGTAAAATCACTTTATATCACCACCAAAATTTAGATTTCATGTTAGTAGTTTCTCTTGACTTTCATTAATGTAATGGCACATTCATTTTTGCTATTCTATAGGACCTGAAGGTGTACGAAAGTGACCCGAATGGATATGTCAATGCTGAACATCAGTGGTTTGATCCTAAAGATGCCGAAACCAAGAGGACATTGACAAGTACTTATTTGGAAGCTCTTTTTCAGTGATATTGGCCTGGAACACTTATAGATTATTCATTCTTTCAGATCATGAACTTCTGTACAGGAAATATTTTATTCATCAATTACACTGATATTGTACATATTAAAAACATATATATTTATTTCACTTGATTATGGTCTAGATTATTTTTCTTTTATTATTGATGGTTGTAAATTTACCAGTATAGTACAGACAGTAACGGCAGAACTAACATATGGTTTACATGTAAGAGGAATAACCCCTCTAAGGAAGTTAAACAATTTCAGTCGCCTGATCATGCGCTCAATATGAACCCTTGAGGTTGCAACTCGCCTTGTGGCAGTTGAGGCTCGTGCAGATACATTACTCTTGCGCATCATTGGGGGTGCAATGAGTACAGTATCATGTAAAGCCAAAAGATCTTGAATGTTGAAGCCCTTGTCAGCCATTACAGCATCGCCCGGCTTCAGTTTTTCAAGGAAACCACTGACATTTACAATTTCCTTGTCACTGATACTTCCATTATACAATTTTGAGACAAAATTAAAATGCAAAATAGGAGACATTGAAATAAGTAACTTAAATGTATTTGAGGACTTGTATTGACTGTAGGTAGATCTTTGGTTGGATGGTTTACCTGGTTTTTCAACATAGAATTCTGTACAATCTATTATTGCTCTCAGATTTTTAAAGCAATTCTTTTTGAAGCAATTGGGT